AGTGAGGGGCGTTTTTCACGACAACCTGAGTATCTGATAGCCCACGTACGCGAAGAGAATTGTTTTTCCTTGTTGACCTCAGAAAGGTAGCCTCCGTAAGGGGATCCACCCATGACGATGAGACGATGCCATTTTTATTCAGAATGTTAGTACCTCAGCCTTGATATTAGTTTACACCTCGTATATTCGATTGCAGTAGCCCGTTTCAGGGTCACGTACAGATCAGCTGAAACAGTTCCTCGCCTTCTTTGCTGACCCCTGTTTTCTACTTCAGCGATATAAGAACTAGTTAAAGCGCCCCACAGGTTTTTGTTGAATTATCGTTGAAACAATAAATAGCAGCTGTGATCAGCTTTTTTCACAAAATTTAAAGTTACCGAATGTTTTTACCGATTCCATGAGACCAAATCTTTTTTTACTTGAGTAAATGTGGTAAAATTGTATCCAGGCATAGAACTTCATACCTCTCATTCCATCTACTATTGCCCAATTCTAATTGGACGAAAAATGAAGTCACCTTCAAGATGAAATGGGAGTTTTGAGAATTGTTCTAAATTGTGATAGAGGTACAGACCTCTACCATTTCTTGCTTCATAACTAACAATGTAACTGTAACTCGACAATGTGCTACTAAGGTGTCTTATTGCCCGTTTCAGCTAAATGGAGCTCCTAAAGTCAACGAATCCAATGCTTCTGGAGAAAATCCGGAGTGTTCTTCTTCTGATTCACCAGAACCAAAAATAAAGCGTCTTCGATATCGCGGCCCCGCTATTACTTGCGCTCGGATGGAAAGAGGAAGTGACAAACAGTCATCACATGTTACTGCTTGCCCTACTGAGAAGCCAACGACATCCTCGTGCCACCATAAAGCGAAGAGTGGAGACTCGCTGCAGAGTCAGTCGTCAGTCGGTTCACCGAAGGTGAGCTGGTGCTTTTATGTCCAATCTTTTCCATACAAATCAGATCAGCTGGTTACGATGTTTTTTTACCTGCTTAGCTTTTCTGCTACAATTTTAGACGCCGAACTCATCTCAGCTGTTAGAAGATCGGGTGATACGTAACATGGATGCCTTGGTTCAAGCCTACACAAATGCTGAAAGAAAAAGTGAAGGTAAAACATTCTTAGTTCCTTTTTTAATTATTTGAAATCAACTTTGTTGTTACTGCAGTGTTTGTGATTTGTGTTGTCATTCTTTTCGTTCTTCCATAAGCATTTATCATTATTACTTCAAGGGAAAGAATATTCCTCTCCTGGAACTCATGTCCCTCTAACATTGTTTCAACGGTACTCTGACGAGTAGTGGTGGGAGGGATTCTCAAGGCAGGAAGTATTAAACTAGTGATAATTCATTTGCATTGATGACCCTTACCCTACAGATAGTCTGAAACGTTGCGCACAAAGTTTCAGATTCAAGGGATCACGATTTTGTCAATGCGCTCTGTAGCCATGGTGGCTTTTTGTGATTAATACGACCAAAAACACAACTCGTTTTTGTAATGGACAGGTCCCGCGAATCCCCCTCCCACTTGGCTTCTCTCATATCGCTCAGCGCTGACTCATTAGATGTCCTTTCCCCCTTTTGCTTCAGCTCCCGTGGTAGAGGAGCGGAGAGTTGCGTGATGGTCACTATCACTCAGTCGATATTTGTAATCTTATCATCCCCTTTGAGAGATTATGTTGGGTTCTATCGTAGTATTGAGTATTTTGCCGACATTGCAGTGTGATTAGGTGAAGATTCTCTTTTGCGTGAGGTGCTTAACCCGGGAGAATTTAGTTTCAATGTATGTTTCATTGAAAACTGGGGAAAAACTTTTCAAACATGGGTGAACAAATATTATCTAGGATCGGACGGTCGGGATGGCAAAGTGGCAGAGCCTCCTTCTTCCAGTGAATCTGATCTATCCGAATTCGGGAAGGTGTGTGGTCCTTTTCTTCGTTGGCTTGATTAAAGTTTTACTTCAGAATACTGCTATCTCTGAGCTTCTCTAGACTTGTTGTCGTTGTTTATAATTGTTGAGGCTCTTACTCTTCAGTTTTGTCGGTAAGGCATATGCCGGACGCATTCCAATAAAATTGAGGAGTCAATAGCTTAGAAAATTACAAACAGCGATAAAGTTTTATTGTTAGCATTCCATGGTTACTTACCACTCTGAACAAAAATGCATTATACAATGTGAATCCTCTTGGAATGATTTGGGATGATTGGAATGGTGCATGATGTATCTTTGTGTATAAGAGGTGGATAACCGCTGGTTATCAAAAATGTACTGAAAGTTCTTGGTAATCCTACCCCTGCTAGAAACATGGTTTCTTATAGAATTCCTTGACCATTCATTTTCTTAGTACAGATAATTGAAGAAACAACCCGATATGGTGAAACGGTGCACTTGGCCTCTCTGAAATATGATATCTCTAACGCAGCTTACCAATCAACAGTATCAAGGTACGCCAGTTTCGGCATCATAATTGCTACATCTTCGGTAGTAACCTGTTGATAAATATTTTATAGCTTGGAGTTTTCTTCCGCTGATAATTCTCTGTTCTCGGTGGCGGATATTTCAAGGACCATACAGGTATTCGATATAAAGACTGTTCTTAAGGAACCGTCCGAGTTTCATTATCCGATTGCGAAAATGGACTGCAATGCAAAGATAAGGTAGCGGGTTGGGATCGAGAAGCATTGACATGAGATTTGATTGTCTTTATGCGTTTTAGTTGTGTTGCTTGGAGCCCTCTTATGGCTTCGGTGATGGTGAACAGTGGGTATGATGGATCTGTTACTGTATGGGACATAAATAAGGTCTGACTGCTTTTTCTCATATGGTAGTTCAAGCGGCTTCATTTTTTCCCTTTTCGTATTTTCAATTTTTTTTTCGCAAACCGTTTGACAATCTTAGAATTTAGCCAAACCTAATCTTACGGTGTAGAATAGTGGCTCTATTTTGATCTTGTTGTAGGTAAGAAGGCTGCGGAAGTTTAATGAACATGAGAAGAGGTGCTGGTCAGTGAGCTTTGCCAGAACGGACAACCATATTTGTGCAACAGGGAGCAATGACTGTTCTGTATGTTTGGAACGCTTCGATCTCTTGTCTTTACTTTACAATATTTATTTTTGATGTTTTCATTAATCTTTATCTTTTTTTTCGAAGTTTCACTGGTCTTAAGGTGAAAATCTGGAACTTGAATATGGCAAATTCTGTTATGACCATTAGGCCATACTTCGTGGTGTGTACTGTGAATTTCGGTTTCACCAAAAACGAATTGGCTGTTGGTTCTGCAGGTAGTAATATAATGTGACTGCAATTCGTTGACCTCCCTTATTTGTGAATTTTAGATCGTTCGGTTTACTTGTATGACCTCCGTCAGCCGTTGCGGCCTCTCAATGTTTTTGCGGGACATCGCCAAGCTGTTTCTTATGTTCGCTATCTTAATCCAGAGGAGATTGTTTCTGCGTGAGTGATTACAGATTGTTACATTTATTTGATGGAGCAATTTACTCAACCTTCAGATATAGGGTTTTAAGCATTGATGATTATTGCGCCTATAACTCGGTTAAAATACTTGTGTGTCTTTTTTTTGTGAGATTCGGCATTGTCTTTGCCATTGCTGCTGTTCATAACTACGAGTTTACTCACAAATACATGAGCAATGTCCTATTAAATGGTTGAGGTGTTCCCTAACAACAATAGGATTCATGTCAGGAGCTCATGTAGAATTTGTACATCGAAAGATGAATTTAAAAATGGTAGCGTATTTACAGATCAACTGATAATAACCTTCGATTGTGGAATACTCGTTCAGCAGAATGCACTCGTGTCTTTTATGGTCACAGAAATACGAAAAACTTCGTTGGACTCAGTTCTTGCGGCGATCATATTTTGACAGGTGCGTGCCTGAAAATTTGTTCTAAATAATGCAAGATATTCTCTTTGGCTCAATAATTCATTCATTCGTTTGAAAGGATTGTCTTGAATCGGTTCTAACATTCATCTTCGTTGTATACAGTTATGAGCATTTGCTGGATCTGACTAGTTTTGGAATCACGCAAATTTAAATACTTTGTAGTTTTGATGATGCTGTTTTTCATCAGTTTATTATTATTATTATACCGATGACATGGAGTGGTCGTTCCTATTATCGAGGCGGATGAATTCTATACTTTGTGGAGAAATTTTTGTGTAGTCGGAACCTGGTATACCGAATAAAAGGTTATTTCGGGGGCATTTCACTCAGAAACTTGTCGTATACTGCTAATTTACATTCATTTCCTGAGTGTATTCTTTTACCCCTGAGCGAGGTAACTCTGAAATTTTCAGGCAGTGAGGATAATCGAGCATATGTTTACTACAAAGCAGTTAGCCGTCCCATTCTTTGTTATGACGTCGATTCTGCTCAAAGCATTGTTACTGGCTTTGATTCTAATTCTTCAGCATTTGAGAACGACTCGGAAGTGTTCGTTTCAGCGGTCGCATGGCGTCCGGTTAGTCCACAGCTCATTATAAACTTTAGGTTATTCTTGTACCTTATAGTAATGACACTCAAACTGCTATCATAGAATGCTAGAATTAGATTGAAGGAAATTTAATAATTAAAGTGAAGTCAGTTGAAGTGAAATGTTTGCTATGGAGATTCAACCCTTCCCTTCTTGAGCTATTGCATTATGTTGAGTTCGTACCCACAAGTTCGTATTCTTTCTTTTGTACCAACTCATTTAAGGCGAATAAAGAAATATCCTTGATAAGAGAAGTAAAAAAGTCTGTTCCGGTCCCCTTCTGGTTTCTGTGCCTTGCTTTTCTTATGATTTTCTTTTTCGAATATCCTATTTTGCTTTATCGTCATACATTTAGGACTCGGACGAAGTTCTCGTTGGAAACAGTGTTGGAAAGGTTGATGTGCTCAAACTCAGCTAACTCAGGAACTTATTTTAACTATTGTACGCTGCTATGTTGTGGAGTCGACGAGTCCAGGCCGAACAGGTGCATACTTCAGTAATATCTTGTTTCGGTACAATTTCTATCGTAAAAGTACTGATTTTTGATTTGCGTGCAATGTCTTCCTCTTCATTCGAATATCACCTGGACAAATTCTTAGTCGATGTTAGCATCGTGAAGCTCTAGACAATTGTAATACCTCAGTAGAATGTAAAAGAAAACACTTACCTGTTTTGTTGTCATAATCAGTTGGTGATTAAATAGTCCTTACTTTATACTTTAACAAATCTTGTATAGGTTTTAGTTGTGAATCCATAGAATGCCTTTTTTAAATAGCTAATTAATTCTTGTTTCTTCTGTATTACTATGTTCGATTCTTTGTTACGAGTTCATACATGGACCCCGGTAAAAAGAAGCAAAATAAAGTTTATACAATGTATGTAGAGCATCTTTCGTTGTAGTACTAGCGCTACAGAGTATAGTAGGAGCAACCAGTCTTGTTTTTTCGAACCTTTTGAGTCTATGTTAATTGGCTCGTAATCGGCATTTGATACCTTCCTCGGACCTCGAACAATTACATGTGTTCCATACAATCGGTCAACTATCTGTAACAACCCAGAACACATCAAAGCGGATCTGAAATTCTGGGAAAGAATTTGAGAGTAAAGTTTCCCAGCGGGGATCTAAGGAAGAGAATGGGTACTCTTACTCTGTAGCGACGAGGTGTTAAAGTCTTAAAGCTAAGTCTTGTGGAGCTAACCAATCCCGTCTGAGGGATGCGTCCACGCATTCGGCTTCCGTTCAGAATCGTTATGGCATAGTGAATGCGTATGTGGCCTAAACAGTGACTTGGGGTGGCCAGCCGATGTACAAGTCAGTACATTTATCCTTCCGGACGAGTCTATTCCCAATTAACCGACCCCGCCCCGGATGGATGGAAGGCTTGGTTGGCCTAAGCGGATAAAGCTGAGGGATTCGAACTCGTGACCACGTGCATGTTTGTGCGCCACTTGCCATCCACCTCCGCCTTCAAGAGGTTTCATCATGAAATGGGAAATGGGCAGTAGGGACGGTTTTGTGTAATCGATCCACCGCACGCGGCTGTCGCGGACCATCTGCCTCAATATAACACTTCTAGCGTTCTTCATACGGCTCAATCGTTATTCGATTATTACTTTAGGCATGATTCTGCTCTTAGTTCTTTTGTTCCTGTATTTCTTACTCTCCGCGCATTCTGCTACATTCCTTCCGCGCGGTGTCTCTCTCGCCGCGACGCGACAATTTCGTTCGTACTGCACCACACCCTCATGAAATAAGTCTCAGGAGGTCAACAACTCCTCCTTCGAGTTGACAACTAGCGTGGAGCGGTGTATTTCTCCCGTGCTTGCATGACCTTCCTTCCCAAGGGCATGTCCAAATTTCTGTGCAAGACTCAGAAGACAAGAGGTTGAGCGTTTTTCTTTTCATGCTAATATGAAGCTGAAAAAAAGGTGCTGTATATGGTAGTTTATGAGTTTCGGAGTGATTCGTAAGCTGGACCTTGTAGAATCTTTAATCTTCACATATAGTTCTTTCCTACGAGAGCGCTTTACTGAACACCTTAGAAATTTTCGGTTTCCTGTCGCTTCGAAAAGGGACAGCATACCACTGGATTGAATTGATCGAAGGATTCGTTTTTCTTGAAACTCCCGATCGTAGGTGGACTATTGGCTTTGCAACCTTGCAAATGATGGCCTCTTCCTACTTTCTGAGCAGAATGACTGAGTGTTGGGGAAGCAACCAAACAATCTTGGACACCGGAAATGAGCTCATCCGATTCACTAGCCCGGCGGAGAGGAACGAAGCCGGTCCTAGTCAACATCAACATTATCCTAGTCAACATCATCAAAGTGGTGAGGTGTTGTAAATATCAGTAAATAGTTTTTTTGTTAGCGTGATCAAAACCTTACCTACCAGTGCTGAGTGTACTTTCTGGCCCATATGGCTTGCAAATGGTACAGAACATTCACCCACTTCCTGATGGACGCGACAAACTGCGCGGCGAAATTCGTGGTGATTCGAATGACTATGGCCCCTATCATATGGGCATAAATTTAAAGTAGGGTAGATAAGTAGCATCAGCTGGCCCTACCCATCCAATCTACTTAAAACCTGTGCCCAAATGATGGACGCCGGAGCCGATTAAAGGCACAGTTCACGATAAAAATGGTTTCTGAGATTCCCCCATAGGATGAATTCGAGGCCCCCTCGTATACCATATCTGGCGCTATCAGGTCGAAAAACGGCCCAGTTAGGGAGCTATGAAAGCTCAAAGATTGGTCCGTGTGTATGCGTGGATGAGTTTCACCGCTTTGAGGAGGCTGCACCGTTCACAAGGGGATCCATTTCGAAAGTTCAAACAACTTGTCATGACCGGCAGCGACAGTGAAAGGCAGTTCTGTTTATTTTTGGCTTGATGTAGTCGGCTCTTTGTGTAACTGCAGCAACTAAAATCTCGTCCGAATACCCCCTCCATGTTATTTCCGCCATAATAATCTCGTCTGACCTTTATTTTTCTCGAAATTGATGGATTTTCTCGCTTTCTTCACTACCAATAAACTATTCCCAACCCATACTTCCGCTTTTCGAATAAAATTGGGTACCTCAAAATTATAGTGAACTGTGCCTTTAAATCACCACGAACTTTGCCGCGCAGTTTGCCGCGTCCGTACAGAATTGGGCGAATGTACCCATACCCGGCTTGCAAGGAACAGTTATCGTCAATCATAGCGTATTATTCAGGGGACTGCGGTGTGTTGGTGTGGAATAATGTCGTTTATGTGGGTTGTAGAAGCGCACATAAGTTGTGAGACACATCCTTGTCACTACTTTACTGCTATGTTGTTTCAGAATGAGAAGCTAGGGCCATATATCTTGGCAGGTTTCATGGCGAACACACAACAATGCTTAGATGGACAATTGGCGCTTGTCCATCTAAGCATTGTTATAACAATATGGCGAACTTTGGACAGCTACTTTATTCTGTGGATGTAGTAGTAGAACAAACGATATTTCCAACCACTATATTTCGCGATTGGTCTACATTCGCCAAAAACTCGTAAATAACGTCTAAGGTCTAACGTCTTGGATAACGTCTTGGGACGCTAGTCCATCTCGTCTGAGAGATGCGCCCATGCATTCGACTTCCATCGAGAATCGTAGTGGCGTATTGAATGCGTATGCGGCCTACTTGATGACTTGCGGAGGCCAGTTTATGTACAAGACAGGGCTTTTATCCTCCTAGACGAGTCTGGAACCAACTAATCTGCGCCGGAGGGATGAAAGGCTTGGTCCGCCTAGGCGGATATCGAGCCGGGATTCGAACCCGTGACTATGCGTGTGTAAAGTGCGCCACTTGCCAGTATACCACCTCTAGCCAGCAAAAACTCGTAAATAAGCAACTTAAAAGACCTAAATTACAAACAATCTTGATGTCCATTGCAATTGTATAGGTCTTACAGATGCTTAATTAATGGAGTGTATCACCACTGTTTCCAGAAAATGTCCTGGCCATATATGTAGTACATGTTACCTTCCACATTTTCGTCCTGTGAAAGCTAAGACTTGTTTGCATTTTTTTGGTTTTTATTGTACCCAAATCTTTCTGTTTTAACCGACCTATGATCGGTTGAATTAATACAGCTGATCTGATTGGTGTGATGTAGTTGGGCGGTAAACTTTTGTTTGACTTCTGTAGTGACTGTTACCTGCTGTTTCAAAGCTGTAATGATTGTAAAATCAGAAAAATTCCATTTTCCCTACATCTTCACTCGAAGTTTCTGACGTTTACCTATCCTTTTTCGGAATGCGCCCCGCATTCTAGGTTCATTAGGAATCGAAGTGACATACTGAGCAACTGCAAGGCCATATTATGGCTTCCAGTAAGCAGCCAATGTTCAAGTCAATGCTATTGTCATCCCAGACGAGTCTAGTACCAATTGATG